TATGACAGGATTATTTAATTAAAATCAAATTTTAATTAAATATCAAATTAGAGTCAAACTCTAATTTCATTACTTAAGGCGGTTGAATTTAATTAAAATCAAATTTTAATTGAATAGTAGAATTAGAGTCCAACTTTAAATCTAAATTTTTAGGGCCATCCCATTTAATTAAAATCAAATTTTAATCAAACACCAAATTAGAGTCTAACTCTAATCTAAAGAAAAGTTTAGGGCGAAACAATTTAATTAAAATCAAATTTTAATTAAACGTCAAATTAGAATCCAATTCTAATTTCTAAAATATCTTTGAGTGAAAAATTAATTAAAATCGAATTTTAATTAACTACTAAATTAGAGTCCAACTCTAATTTAAATTGAATCAATATTTTAAATTAGGATAACACTCCTAAATAAAATAAAATTCAATTGGGGTCAAAGTTTAATATTTAAGTCAAAATCCAATTTTAACAAAAATATAAAATATCGTCAATTTTAAATAAAATTTTAATTTGATTCAAAATAAAAGCATGGGTCAAACCCAATTAAAAACATAATTTTAAAACCCATTTAAAATTTAAATTCAAAATTCATTTTGAAATTTGCAAATTGACCCAAGTTTAAAATTAAAAGGCGGTCCTTCAATTAACTTAATTGCGTGACAAGTCCTCCAATTAAAAATTGCAAAGTCACCCTTCATTTAATTGCAAGCAGGGGTCCTTAATATGAAGTATTGCCAAAAATAACCCTCAATTAAAAAATTAACAATTTGACCCCAGATATCATATTTGCAAGTGGGGGCTTGCAATTTTAGAAATTGCAAATGAGGCCCCCGCCTCCAAACGCCCAAAATTGCCTGTGAACCCTAACATTCATCATTTTTTTTTTTGTTTAGTTTATCTAGTGGCGACGAGTTTGGCTGCCCTAAGCAGCCAACAGCGCCTTCGCGCTGCTGAAAACAGCAGCTGTGATGCCGTTGCACAAAAGCGGCATCACAGTCGCTGCTTGAGCGCCCGCATCTGCAGCAGCGCCTGCTGTTGCCGCTGCCCGCCGGCAGTGGTGAGCTACCGACCAATCCCCAAAAAAAATTTTTTTTTCGAATCAGATTTCAAAATTATAAAATTAAATTTCAACTTAATTGCTAGAAACAAGAAAATTAATAACAATCAACATTTGATTGATCAATCACACAAATCAATTTCTAACAAATACAAAGGAATCTCTGATACCACTGTTGGGAATCTACTTATACATGCACAGCGGAAAATTAAATTATTTCGATTTCCACCGAGGATCCCTTTGTGTTTAGATAGAAATCATGATAAAGATTCTACCTTTGACGAATTTTGCAAACCTTTTGCTGTTCTTTTCGTTCCAACAATCTTGATTCGCAACCCACAGCTGTCTAATTGTCCAGCCTCTAACGGTGATCCACACAGAGAATAAGATTGCAGCTACCAGGATTTTTCCCTTGTATCAGCAAGAATAATGAAAAACATATGGACCTCAAACCCTAATCATGTATTTATATAAACCCAAACGGGCCCGGCCCGGCCCGGTCCAATATTTAATTAATCCATTTAATTAAACTCGATCCGTGAATTAATTAATCCAATTAATTAACTCGTGAATATAAATAACAAATCCAATTAATTAATTTATCAAACGATTGTTAAATTAATTAATTGACAAATTGCAATCTTTCAATTCTCTTTTGTGTGTGACCCATTAGGTTCCCGATCACGATATCTAACGACGTGAAATATTATTTTGATCTAATCAAAATTGATAAATTAAAACACCCTTTTAATTTATCGTCAATTCATACTCGTCGTCCCAGATTGACATCTAACAATGTGTCAAGGCAATACATGTCACGAAAAATGTCACGTGGTATGACAAAACCAAACTCGTTCGTTTACCGTGAAAATATAATCCCTTCGTCTATATGATCCAATCAATTACGAGATATAGAAGTGTGTCAATTTCGATTATCAATAATATCTTTCACTCCACTATTAAGTCAACATAAGTCGAAAACTCCTTTTCGACTTATGAGTACACATTGACCAAGGATTTCATCATCGACTTAATTGAATGAAACGCAGATCATAATTTCCTACTATCTAAGAGTGACGAATCCTTTATTGATCAATCACAACATTCATACGATTCTTGACGTATCCGAACGATGTCGTATTAGCGGCCCTTTGCAGAGCAACATCCAACATCGTCAAAGTATGACTGTCCTCATATAAGGTACCATGACGACCTCAAGTCAAAGGACCAGTTCCACTGCCGAACGTTAGAGATTAACCACCGACACTCAGATAGTTATCCATTTGGAATCTCTCGACGGGTCTCCAATATTTTGTTCTTTAACAAAACATCCACGTGTTCATTTAAGTGTCACCACACTTTAGCTTGTGAGATCGGCTACTTACTTCACAAGTAAGAAATGCCACACGTGATGGTCTATCCGTAATAACGATATTCGTATCTCGTTATTACTTACGACCACGGACGATTTAAGATTCAATCAGATGTAATTTGTATCTCACAATTATAACTCTTGTGATTAACAAATTACGAAGATTTGAATCAGCGGACTCTATTATTTATTTAATTTTCTATTAATTAAATAATGGATCTGTCATTAAATTGCATTAATTATATATCTAAAGTATTTATGTCCAAAGTTGATTGGATCTAGGGCATAATACTTACACGTGTAACCTTTTTTAAACATGAATGAGCTATAAATAACTTTTTAAATTTGAGTGAGCAAATAGTAACCTAACCTAAAGTTCTCAGTGAGTTTTGATTTAATTAACTTTACTTAGATGTGTGTAGTCGCTTTTAATTATCTTTTGCTTATTGTTATTTTTAAATTAAACCTTAGTTTGGGATATTTATTTATTTATTTATTTTTGTGTTAAAAATGTAACTTAAATATTAATCTTAAACATACATTCGTAGGATCCATAAGTACTATTCACTTATTTCTATCAACATATAATTTAACCAAAAAACAGGGGAATCCAAATAAAGGCTAACTTTATAACTATATTAGAAAAAAATAACTTTAACTATATTAGGTTGAGATGACTTAACTTAGAGTATCTCCAAGAAATTCTCTATTTTTAAAGAGCATATTCTACGACGTAAAAAGTATTTATAAATTTAGAGAGTCTATCAGACTCTTTATATTTAACACTTAATTTTACTACTTCCAAAAAATATTTATTGTTTTTTTCTATCTTTTATTTTCACTAAATTCCCTTCAAATTATTATATTATTTTCATCCATTGAAAATTGAAATACTTTGAATATGTTTCAATTGTAATGAGTGGGAATTTGAAGAATCAAACTCACTCTTCAAATTAAAATATTGATTTAAAGAGTCTCTTGAGACCTAGTTTTAAGGGTTGACTTTTTTAAAAATAGAGAGTATCTTATATTTAAAGAGTTTCTTGAATATGATCTCATTATTTTTTAAAGAGCATAATTTTCGTACAATAAATGAATTAACTTAAAATATTAAAAAGCTAGTAATAATTTATTATTAATTAGATGAGAAAAAAGAATTATTGGCAAAGCAAAACTTCACCTTTTAGTAAATATGTTTTTCATAGTAAAATAATTTACAAGGAAATTCTGTAATTGTTTCACCAAATACAGAATACTTGAGTGTTTACATAAGATATTGAATTTCACATTTGAGTCTCACTTAGAAATTCTTGAGGCGTTGCAGGTAGATTCACAGTTGAAACTGAATGCTATTATACTAAGTATTATATGCTATTTGATTGCACATTTACAATGTACTAAAAAGTATTGAAATATGTATTTGGTGATATATTTTACTTCACCTGGATGCATAAAAATTTGAAAACCAGCCTAAATTTTGTAGTGTCTGTGAAGAAAAATAAAAATAAGGTTTTTCTTATTGCAGGTCATCGCTAAGGTGAAAATTTTCACTAATAATTTGCAGTGACCTCTTCGACTTGGGACATGTATTACTCATTCCAGCTTTTGCATTTCAGGCATATATTTTTATTTATATGCACTCCTTTTTTGAATTTTTTGGCGTTTGTATTTACTTTTTGTATTTAGGTCATTAACTTATGGTTAAGCTTCGGTTCGGTTGGAAAAAATATCCCAAGTGTTTTAGGATTCAATTGCGCTACACATCGAGGTTGATAAACAGGCTAAAAAACAAGGGTAACACGTGTCACCCCGCAATTGGATAGTTTGAAAAATCAAAACAAAAAACACCCAACAATTTGCTGTTACCTCAGTCTGTCTCCTCCTTTCCTGTTTTTAACCTTAGCTAACTGGCTTTGTACTTTAGGATTTATGCAATGACCATGCCTGTTTTCTTTTGCTACATAGATGATGGTGTAGGCATCAATCCTACTTGCATTGTCCCGCGTGGATAGTAACTGGACCTAGCGGAATTTAGGCTATCTTGATTTGCAAGAGAGATTAAGATGAGGGATAGCCCTCTTTTTGCAAAAGATAATGGTTTCCAGGTGCCTATAACAGAGAGAAAATCCCTTCTGTGGTACGAAGTCTTAACAGATTGAGGCCAGAAATTAAAACACATATTTACCTCTACAAGGTAAAAGAAGAACTTAGAGCAACAGCCATATATTGGGGTTGGACATAAGCTATTTACTTATATAGGAAAAGAGATAAAAGAACGATACAAAAAATCGACCAATCTAAGATTTTCCGACTATATGTTTGCAACAGAGGAATTTGAGAGGAAAAAACAATATTGCAGAGAGATATCTAAGGGTCTCCTCAGACCTTCACAAGTAACTGTTTAGTATGTAAAAACGGCATGTCTACAGTCTAAAACTGCTGGTTTCATCTCCTATCTTGGACTAGGTAACAGGATCAACTTCTTTTAGCTGAATGCAGGAGAAGCCAGGGACTTGTCCATAAGCAACTCAATTTTCTAATTATCCAAGAAAGAAAGTCATGATATGGACTCAAAAGTCCTATAGACAAATACAACAATCCAATATTTCTAAAATATAAATGATGTAGAACAATTTGGCTAAGCTTTTAAGTAACATTTTGCCTCAAAACATGTCACAATAACTTCTTTTCTTATCTTGAATGTAAAAAGTAACATACGATCAACTTCTTCACTCCAATTTTAACCGTACAAAAATTAGAGTAATACTATTTAATACCACTGATAGCCTAGGTAACACTAACGTGACATTAAAGGAGATATATAATTACATGAATCACTTAATTTTACATTTCAATAAGCCTATCACTTAGTACTACCGAAATTGGTGTGGTAGCACCATTGGTGCTAGATAGCATTATTCTAAAAATTAAAATAAATTTTAAAGCTTAATTCTTATAAGTTAACTTTTTATGATTAGCAAAACCTGCCTTATGTCTTTAACAACGGCGGTAAAGTGAATTCTTTTCTCTCTCTATCCTGAGCTACTCAATAAGGATTCCAGGGATTTCCAAGAATATGTCATTTAATGGGGCTACTGAGGGAATTCACCTTCACTGACTTGTTAAGTTCTTCAAGTCTGTGAAGCATCAACTCTGAAGGTACAATGCCTCTGTGTTCCACCGAAGAATGAAGAGGAGAACCCATTGTTTGCATGATAGAGGGAAGTGAAAATTACCATCTTAAAAGAGGTTTGAATGAACAAATGTGACAAACTTCCTATACCAAGAAAAGAAGTGATATGATGATGATTTTTGTGTTCTTCAATCACAAAGCTACATATGCATACAAGTCGGAGATGTTCTTAACCAATCCCATTATAAGGCATAAATTATGCATCACTTTAGCATATTTGTGTTCTTTAGTTATGATTGGTGATAAAACTGGTTTTTCCATTCTTCAGACAGGATTATCAAATATCATTTTGCTAAGCCCATTCTTCAGACAGGATAATCAAATATCATTTTGCTAAGCACTTCAGTTAAGACCATGGAGAGGTGGAACCGAGCAAGTTAAATAGAGCCGCTAACCGAAAATCCCCTAGGAATAAAAAACAAAGGTCACCTACTACCCTTCCCATAGACGAGAACTCCCCCCAAAAAATACACGTCTGCTTCTCTCAACTATATCCCTAATCAGAAGAAGTGAGCAAGGATTCGCAACTGGTAGTCAGATTCAGATCATTAATTAAAAGTTACCAGCTATCTGATAATCTTAATAAAGACAAGGTTAACATTCTTAGTACAAAGCCATTTTCCTGAACTGCAGCAAGGCCAATTGAATTCATTGTATGCATAACAACAGGCTTTAAGAGGCATTGTAGACACAGTTTCCTTCCTCTTTCTCTTGCCAAGTAAACCTTTTTCTCCAATATAAAAGTATTGAGCACGACCTAATTATATCTACTAAATGACATTAATCTTGAAATCAAGAAAATGAAAAGGTATTGATTTTGAAGATCTCTCGAGAGATTCTGGCAACATAGGAAAGCTACTTTGTAATTGTATTTTGTTTATCTATCATCCAATGAAGGAGACATTCTTCAGATACTTAGCACAAAATGATACTGTTTCTATTTCGTCATTTATTTTTAAAAGAGCTATATGTTTCTTAAAATTACCATGAAAGATTAAACAAAAGAGAAAAAATCACTGAGAGCAATTTGAGCAAGGTTACCTATCAACATTAATCTGGTCACAGGAACCCAAATAACTGGGCAATTAGTATAATCATAAATAGACAAGGTAACCCGAACTTCAAGTGATTGAGAAAGAGTTCCATATCCAACATAAAAAGTGTGAATATTTCGGTTCAATATTCATGGATAGAGTTGGCAGGATATAACAGTAAATAACAGAATTTGTGGGAGAAAACCATATAGATTATGGTGTTGAAAATTTAGAAGGAATGACCCTGAGGTCTATGGACGCCTATTTTAACAACTCTGTTAGGTCTCACCAAACCCCAATCTGGATCAGATTTCATGTCATGGTTCAATGGCAAGAAAGGTAGGTTCAATACTGTGCACACCCAACTCACGGACTCAGGAGCACTAAGCATTACACGATTATCCAAACAACAAGTTTTTTAGGCATCAGAGATTCACTTTCTGATTTCTTATTTGATATTGAGCGAGGATGAATAATTTATTTAAAATCATCTTTTGACTGATCATTGGGACTCTATAGCTAGACTTGAAAAATGTAAATTAGAAAAAAATGCATCTTGAAGTAAGTATTGCGTCTCAACTAGCCATTTCTCAGATGTCCAGCCCAAAATAAGACAAGAGTTTAGTTTTTACTTTTTACTTTCCAGACTCTAGATGGAGATCTCAAAACAGCTGGACCCACTGAACCAAGCTTTCCCCATCCGAAATTTGGGAATTACGATTCCAACTATTGCCGACTTCTAGTATAGCTTTTGAAGCCTCTGTTATGACAACCTGCATATCGTCAAATATTTTTTATAGATTACACTTCTTAGTGTTATCTAATAGCAAAATGCCGATCGTTGGTCTGTTAAGAATAATTCACTACTTGCAATGATATTACCACAAAAAAAAAAAAAGAACAAGATGATAAATTTGGAATTCAGGTTGTACCTTCCTCAGAAATGCAGGATTATAAACCCCTTGAACCTGCAATTCATCAACTGGGGCAGCTTTAACACGTGCTATACTTTCAACTTTGAATTTATGAATTCCATACATTGACTGCAAGAAACCTGCACATAAAAAATAAAAAAATAAAAAAAGATATACAATTCTACTTGTTCATTATAAGCAGAGAGGAGAGAGAAAAAATATTTGGCAAATGAGTATAAGGAAACAAGATATAAAAATTTAATTAGACCAAATTCACAACAAAATACTCGCAATGTCAGTGCATATATAAGTTGCACAAAAAGGGGCATGACAAGGACGTGCACATCTGTTCCGGAAACGTACATATCACTAATAGTTGATTTTCATTTTTCTGAAACTTAAAATCTCATCTAGCTCACATTCAAAGATGTTCAAAAGTCAAAATCCAGTGTTTCCACTTGAGGAATTAACTCACTCACTCTCCTAACATACTTGAACCCATGCAAAATTCTGTTGAACTACTTGTGCAAATTTATTCATAGGATCAACAATTCCAATTTCCACATGCTTCTGCAGAAAAAGAACATTAAAATAAAAATAGGAAACTCTAAGTGAAGAAAAGCAGAAACTTTACTGGGTTGGTTGCGAGCAATTACAATATCATCACACTATAAGCAAGTTTAGCAAAACTAAAATTATAATGTAAGCGGGTGAAATATACTTTTTATCCAAACATTTTGTAGGACCCACAACTTACAACTCACTTATCATCCACACATTCCATATGACTCAAAACTTATAAGCAGTACCAAACAAGTACTATATTTTTAAAGATTTGCAGTCTGCTATTCGAATGCGTGGCTCTATTTTGTTAATGAGAGGAAAACCTGCATTAGACTGGTAGAGATGCATTTAATATGTGGAGGCAACCAGTAATGCTAATCTGTCACAGATGTCTAGAAGGCCTTGCTGATTACGGAAACAATATCACCTCAAGTCAAATTTAGATAGTGAAAAATATTGCAGTTGGGTACCGGATAATCATTAGAAAGGCGGAATAAAGTTGAGAACCTCATGTCACTTCAATTATCACAGTTGGTCTTATTCTTCATTAGAAAATAACGAGACAAGGAAACTGAGTTGCGTGGATATTTAAATGAAGCCAATTAGGACATAGTAAAGAATAAACTACTGATAAAATTAATTGGGTAAAAGAGAGAAACCATGAAAGATGTAATTTTACCTTGTTCAACGATAACATCAATAACCAAGGATAGAGGTACATGCTTTTCAATTTTCCTATCTCCGCAAAAGGGTATAAATGAAGGCCTTGATACCTACAAATGAAGAAAAACTCTCATACATTAGCTCCAGATTATTAATTTCACTGTAGAAGGTGAAGCTAACAACGTGAAATCAATTCATTGGAAGATGAGATACCTTGTAGACTATTTCTGTCGATGTAACATAGAGCTTCCGTGATGCTATATCCTTCTTAATCACACATCTTCTAAAAGGCAAATATAGCAGCATAATGATCCCAATACCCCATGCTAAAACCAGCATAGCGATATTGAGAACAATATTATAGTATCGTACTGTATGTTTTTTGATGCTAGTTCTTTAAATGATGCTGTGTATAGAATGTGTGAGGGAATATCGGCTTCTTCATCTCCATCTACATCAGAGACAGGGTCAGAGAGCAACAAATCTTTTGCTGGCTCAAGCTTTGATAGTCCCTCAGCATGACCCATCAGCATCTTTCAATCTTAAATCTAATGACAAGTTATGGAGTTTATCAACTGGACAACAAAGTACTTCTTGCAGAGGGGGGAAAAATGAAAGAAAGAAAGAAATGTATTATCAATAATATAAATAAGAAATTGTCCATATACATGAATTTCGTTTTAATTCAAAATATGTAGAATAAAGGAAAACAAATTATTCAATCAAATACAAAATGTATAACATTTTTTTTCTTGTATCATAGACAAATCTGTTATTTCCTTAATTACTAATTCCAGACCATAAATCATATGTGATTGAATTTCATTTTTAAATTCTACTACAACAGAACATAGATCAAGTATAATGCTAACAGCAATTATTTACGTGATTGAACTGGCTTTTAAATTCAACTAAAATAAAACATAAATCAAGCTTTACATTTTAACAGACTCAATTGTACACTTTAATACGTCGTGAAAAACTAGCATATATCAGCACATTAAATTATTAATCGAGAGGAAGGTTTTAACAAGAAAACCCCAAAGGACTACTGTCTACTGATGATAACATAATATAGCTAATATACGAGCTTCCATTCATCCAATAATAAACAAATAACACAATCAAGGCAACAGTATAACGAAAATTTAATTAGTAAAACTAATTAAAAATCAAGCTTTAGATTTTCACACTCACGCGCACACTCAATGCCTCGTGAAAGAACTAGTATACATCTTAAATTATTTAATTGCTAGTTAGGTTTTAGCAAGAAGACGTGCTATAATTAGTATACGAGGTTCAATTCAAGCTATGTAATAGACAAATAACACAAAAACAATGCAACAGTACAACGAAAATTTTAATCATAATTCTCAACCAATTTGCTGCGTTTGGTGAGTTTTTTTCACTAAAGATAACTATAAATTTAAATTCCATTCCTCTGATTGTTTCGAGCTACCAAACAGAGATCAAGCCAACCGAAAATAAATATAAATTCATATTTTTACCTGAACTCTTTTCCGATTAAATTGAAATGCGAACTCACTGTTTTCGGTAATCGATTAGAGGAAGATATTTGTTTTCGGGAAAACTTCTCTGTATAAATGTCTTGTGGAGCGCGCAAATGGCCGAACTTGACATTCAGATTAATGAATTCGCTGGACCCAATTTGGCGGAAAAGGTTAAACGGTCTCCAACCGTTAAAGCATGTTTGGCTATAAATCGTTCTAACTAAAGTGTTTGATGTCTGTATCATGTTTTCCCACTGAAAAATTCAAAGAAGCAATTTACCTTATTAAATGCAAGAGCAAATTCAACATAATTAGACATTAGCATTTGTTTTTTTGTGTGTGTGTGACTCACCCTTTATTTCCATCTATTTGCCGTGAGTATTTCTTTTTATTCCCATCTATTCATTGTGCGCATTTATGAATGCTTTTACGTAGGCTATCAATACTGTTGTCGCCGGAATCCTCCATGATGTGGTCGATGATACGTGTGAAAGTTTGCATAGCATAGAGAGAGAGTTTGATGCTGATGTTGCAAAGTTGGTAGCTGGAGTTTCCAGACTAAGTTATATCAATCAGGTACATCGTGCAATACAAAACAATTGTTCTCTGAGGTCATACTCTTAAACAGGGAGCTTGAATGGTTCATTTGTCCTGTGGTGGATCTCATGTGAGAAAATAACAACTTTCTGAACTAGACCTGGGGGTTGTCTTGCCAAAATCTTGTGGGAAATTAACTAGATTTTGACTTTTTTGTACGTGCGTCTTAATATTGTTCTCGTGAATTTGTGCACTGCATTTCCCTTTCCTTTTTAATGAATCTTTAGCATTTATTATATTGACTGGGTACCCTTTTTATAGTTATTACGGAGGCACCGTAGAAAGAATGTGAGTCAATCGACACTCAGCCATGATGAGGTAAGCATTCATGATAATATCACGTTCACCAATCAGATTCTGGTCCATACTTTTAGACGATAAAACCTCTTTATCCATACAATATAGGACAAAACTTTAGTTATTAAGAATTGTTTAGAACATCAAAATGAGAGCAGAGATAAAGTATAGTCAAGCTAGGTTACCATTTTGTTGTTCATCAGCAATAATGGAACATGGGAAAGATAAACTTCTAATGACAGGCAGAACAAGTGCTGCAATTAGCAGCAGCTCAAGAAAATCAGAGCATGAAGTCATAGGGATGACAAGGGTATTAATGAGAAGTAAATGTTTTTAATTATATTTCAAGAAAGAAGTAGGTTTCTTATGATATAATTTATATTTTTATTTTTATCTGAAGCAGTAGAGAAACCATTTTCTACTTGTGTGATTTAGTTAAAGGTTAAAACTACTTTAGGATCAATTTAATAGACATTCCACTAGAATTTTACTTTTGAATTCAAAATGGGTGTAAAAGTCGTTCTGAACCGTGGAACCAGATGTTAAATGTTAAGTAGCTAACCATTTTTTCAGAGTTTTTCACAGGTGTCCTGTAATACCAACTAAAGGTTTAACCCCCCTCCCCCTCCCCAGGATTTCACACGGTTTGGGAGTTGGCTACATCTTTGCTTTAGGAATTTAATCATCTTCCATAAAGGAGCGGAATGAAATCAAAGTTTCATGTCGTGTTTAAAATTAGAGACATTCAAAATATTGAAACTGACACGATCCGTCCCGAATCACCTTAGTGAAACATGACATCCAAAGATGGTATGATGTAAACTAGACATTGGAATCACCACCAATGCTAACTTTGACCTACTATGGCTATAATGATTTTTTTTAAAATTTTTGACTGAGTTTTCCCTATAGTATGGACTAAGAGCATCTTGAAGAGACTAATTCTAAAAAACATATTCTAAAATTTACAAAATAAAATTTTTTGAGTACTCCAACAAACTCTTTATAATTAACACTTAATTTTACTACTACAAAATAATAATTATTGTTTTTTCTAATCTTTTATTTTTACTAGCTTCTCTTCAAATTATTATATTATTTTCATCCATTGAAAATTGAAATACTTTGAATATGTTTCAATTGTAATGAGTGGGAATTTGAAGAATCAAACTCACTCTTCAAATTAAAATATTGATTTAAAGAGTCTCTTGAGACCTAGTTTTAAGGGTTGACTTTTTTAAAAATAGAGAGTATCTTATATTTAAAGAGTTTCTTGAATATGATCTCATTATTTTTTAAAGAGCATAATTTTCGTACAATAAATGAATTAACTTAAAATATTAAAAAGCTAGTAATAATTTATTATTAATTAGATGAGAAAAAAGAATTATTGGCAAAGCAAAACTTCACCTTTTAGTAAATATGTTTTTCATAGTAAAATAATTTACAAGGAAATTCTGTAATTGTTTCACCAAATACAGAATACTTGAGTGTTTACATAAGATATTGAATTTCACATTTGAGTCTCACTTAGAAATTCTTGAGGCGTTGCAGGTAGATTCACAGTTGAAACTGAATGCTATTATACTAAGTATTATATGCTATTTGATTGCACATTTACAATGTACTAAAAAGTATTGAAATATGTATTTGGTGATATATTTTACTTCACCTGGATGCATAAAAATTTGAAAACCAGCCTAAATTTTGTAGTGTCTGTGAAGAAAAATAAAAATAAGGTTTTTCTTATTGCAGGTCATCGCTAAGGTGAAAATTTTCACTAATAATTTGCAGTGACCTCTTCGACTTGGGACATGTATTACTCATTCCAGCTTTTGCATTTCAGGCATATATTTTTATTTATATGCACTCCTTTTTTGAATTTTTTGGCGTTTGTATTTACTTTTTGTATTTAGGTCATTAACTTATGGTTAAGCTTCGGTTCGGTTGGAAAAAATATCCCAAGTGTTTTAGGATTCAATTGCGCTACACATCGAGGTTGATAAACAGGCTAAAAAACAAGGGTAACACGTGTCACCCCGCAATTGGATAGTTTGAAAAATCAAAACAAAAAACACCCAACAATTTGCTGTTACCTCAGTCTGTCTCCTCCTTTCCTGTTTTTAACCTTAGCTAACTGGCTTTGTACTTTAGGATTTATGCAATGACCATGCCTGTTTTCTTTTGCTACATAGATGATGGTGTAGGCATCAATCCTACTTGCATTGTCCCGCGTGGATAGTAACTGGACCTAGCGGAATTTAGGCTATCTTGATTTGCAAGAGAGATTAAGATGAGGGATAGCCCTCTTTTTGCAAAAGATAATGGTTTCCAGGTGCCTATAACAGAGAGAAAATCCCTTCTGTGGTACGAAGTCTTAACAGATTGAGGCCAGAAATTAAAACACATATTTACCTCTACAAGGTAAAAGAAGAACTTAGAGCAACAGCCATATATTGGGGTTGGACATAAGCTATTTACTTATATAGGAAAAGAGATAAAAGAACGATACAAAAAATCGACCAATCTAAGATTTTCCGACTATATGTTTGCAACAGAGGAATTTGAGAGGAAAAAACAATATTGCAGAGAGATATCTAAGGGTCTCCTCAGACCTTCACAAGTAACTGTTTAGTATGTAAAAACGGCATGTCTACAGTCTAAAACTGCTGGTTTCATCTCCTATCTTGGACTAGGTAACAGGATCAACTTCTTTTAGCTGAATGCAGGAGAAGCCAGGGACTTGTCCATAAGCAACTCAATTTTCTAATTATCCAAGAAAGAAAGTCATGATATGGACTCAAAAGTCCTATAGACAAATACAACAATCCAATATTTCTAAAATATAAATGATGTAGAACAATTTGGCTAAGCTTTTAAGTAACATTTTGCCTCAAAACATGTCACAATAACTTCTTTTCTTATCTTGAATGTAAAAAGTAACATACGATCAACTTCTTCACTCCAATTTTAACCGTACAAAAATTAGAGTAATACTATTTAATACCACTGATAGCCTAGGTAACACTAACGTGACATTAAAGGAGATATATAATTACATGAATCACTTAATTTTACATTTCAATAAGCCTATCACTTAGTACTACCGAAATTGGTGTGGTAGCACCATTGGTGCTAGATAGCATTATTCTAAAAATTAAAATAAATTTTAAAGCTTAATTCTTATAAGTTAACTTTTTATGATTAGCAAAACCTGCCTTATGTCTTTAACAACGGCGGTAAAGTGAATTCTTTTCTCTCTCTATCCTGAGCTATTCAATAAGGATTCCAGGGATTTCCAAAAGAATATGTCATTTAATGGGGATACTGAGGGAACTCACCTTCACTGACTTGTTAAGTTCTTCAAGTCTGTGAAGCATCAACTCTGAAGGTACAATGCCTCTGTGTTCCACCGAAGAATGAAGAGGAGAACCCATTGTTTGCATGATAGAGGGAAGTGAAAATTACCATCTTAAAAGAGGTTTGAATGAACAAATGTGACAAACTTCCTATACCAAGAAAAGAAGTGATATGATGATGATTTTTGTGTTCTTCAATCACAAAGCTACATATGCATACAAGTCGGAGATGTTCTTAACCAATCCCATTATAAGGCATAAATTATGCATCACTTTAGCATATTTGTGTTCTTTAGTTATGATTGGTGATAAAACTGGTTTTTCCAATCTTCAGACATGATAATCAAATATCATTTGGCTAAGCACTTCAGTTAAGACCATGGAGAGGTGGAACCGAGCAAGTTAAATAGAGCCGCTAACCGAAAATCCCCTAGGAATAAAAAACAAAGGTCACCTACTACCCTTCCCATAGACGAGAACTCCCCCCAAAAAATACACGTCTGCTTCTCTCAACTATATCCCTAATCAGAAGAAGTGAGCAAGGATTCGCAACTGGTAGTCAGATTCAGATCATTAATTAAAAGTTACCAGCTATCTGATAATCTTAATAAAGACAAGGTTAACATTCTTAGTACAAAGCCATTTTCCTGAACTGCAGCAAGGCCAATTGAATTCATTGTATGCATAACAACAGGCTTTAAGAGGCATTGTAGACACAGTTTCCTTCCTCTTTCTCTTGCCAAGTAAACCTTTTTCTCCAATATAAAAGTATTGAGCACGACCTAATTATATCTACTAAATGACATTAATCTTGAAATCAAGAAAATGAAAAGGTATTGATTTTGAAGATCTCTCGAGAGATTCTGGCAACATAGGAAAGCTACTTTGTAATTGTATTTTGTTTATCTATCATCCAATGAAGGAGACATTCTTCAGATACTTAGCACAAAATGATACTGTTTCTATTTCGTCATTTATTTTTAAAAGAGCTATATGTTTCTTAAAATTACCATGAAAGATTAAACAAAAGAGAAAAAATCACTGAGAGCAATTTGAGCAAGGTTACCTATCAACATTAATCTGGTCACAGGAACCCAAATAACTGGGCAATTAGTATAATCATAAATAGACAAGGTAACCCGAACTTCAAGTGATTGAGAAAGAGTTCCATATCCAACATAAAAAGTGTGAATATTTCGGTTCAATATTCATGGATAGAGTTGGCAGGATATAACAGTAAATAACAGAATTTGTGGGAGAAAACCATATAGATTATGGTGTTGAAAATTTAGAAGGAATGACCCTGAGGTCTATGGACGCCTATTTTAACAACTCTGTTAGGTCTCACCAAACCCCAATCTGGATCAGATTTCATGTCATGGTTCAATGGCAAGAAAGGTAGGTTCAATACTGTGCACACCCAACTCACGGACTCAGGAGCACTAAGCATTACACGATTATCCAAACAACAAGTTTTTTAGGCATCAGAGATTCACTTTCTGATTTCTTATTTGATATTGAGCGAGGATGAATAATTTATTTAAAATCATCTTTTGACTGATCATTGGGACTCTATAGCTAGACTTGAAAAATGTAAATTAGAAAAAAAGGCATCTTGAAGTAAGTATTGCGTCTCAACTAGCCATTTCTCAGATGTCCAGCCCAAAATAAGACAAGAATTTAGTTTTTTACTTTTTACCTTCCAGCCTCTAGATGGAGATCTCAAAACAGCTGGACCCAAGGTTAGAGATTCCATGCGAACCAAACTTTCCCCATCCGAAATTTGGGAATTACGATTCCAACTATTGCCGACATCTAGTATAGCTTTTGAAGCCTCTGTTATGACAACCTGCATATTGTCAAATATTTTTTATAGATTACACTTCTTAGTGTTATCTAATAGAAAAATGCCGATCATTGGCCTGTTAAGAATAATTCACTACTTGCAATGATATTACCAAAAAAAAAAAAAAAAACAAGATGG